TGACTGTATTGTACTGCACCACACACAATACTCCAGATGTTTATTAAAGCAGCAGAAATGGAGGTCAAGGTCAGACGTGTTTAGATAACATGTTTACAGCCCCAGTGTGACCCTGAATGTACAAAGAACCATAAAGACACACACACACCGCACTGTAACTGGGTTATAAACAACACACACACACACACACACACACACACACACACACACACACAAAAACATACACACACTCACACACACACACAAAACATATACACACACACAAAAACATAAACACACACACACACACAAACATATATACACACACACACAAAGACATATACACACACACACACACGCACACACAAACTAGAGGTGAGATCGGGCCTAAAAAATCCAGCCCGACCCGACCCGGCCCGCGGGTATTAAAACCCGACCCGGCCCGAGCCCGACCAATTAACTTGATTTGCAGGCCCGAGCCCGAAGCAAACCCGAAATGTCATATTTTATTTGTGACTCGGGAGGAGGAGCAGTGCTCAGCGTCGAGGTGCCAGTCTTTTTGCTCTCGTATGAAAGCAAAGTGCCACATTGACGACATTCAGCGAAGCCAACGCAAGTTTCTGTAGCATTTTCAACAATCAATTTGAAGCTTTTCCACACCTCACTCTTACCGGTGCGTGTTTGTCTTTTCAGTTCTCCTGCCTTTAGTTTAACTTCTTGCTCCTCCATATTGGGGACACCAGGTCAAAATAGATGCAGACTTGCGGAGGGGAAGATGATTAAATGAAGAGGGGGCGTTCACGTGCGCAGAGCTCTGGCTCTGCCGATCCTGTTTAGTAGTTAAATAGCAATTACATTACATTACTTCTCTGTTTTATCCATATTATTTATTTTATAACAAGTATTCCTTAGTTTAGTATCCACACATCGTTTTAGCATACATTTTATAAACATATATTTATTTGAAGCCCGAGCCCGACCCGACCCGAAGTAATGATTGACATTTTAGACCCAACCCGAAATCGGGCTTGGGCTCGGTCTTAAGATCTTACCTCTAACACAAACATATACACACACAAACATATACACACACACACACAAACATATATACACACACACACAAAGACATACACACACACACACACACTCACACACACAAACATATACACACACACAAAAACACACACACACAAAGACATATACACACACACACACACACACACAACACACACACACACACACAAAACACACACACACAAAGACATATACACACACACACACTCACACACACAAAACACACACACACACAAAAACACACACACACAAAGACATATACACACACACACACTCACACACACAAACATACACACACACACACAAAAACACACACACACAAAGACATATACACACACACACACTCACACACACAAACATACACACACACACACAAACACACACACACAAAGACACATATACACACACACACACACACACACACAAACATACACACACACACACAAAAACACACACACACAAAGACATATACACACACACACACACAAACATACACACGCATGTACACATATATACACATGCACGCGCACACACAGAAACATACACACACATCCACACATATACACACAAAAACATATACACACACACACACACACACAAACATATATACTTACACACTTACACATTGGGTTTCCATGATTCTTGGGAACATCACATTCATTTCCTGGAGGTTGATTCTAGTCTGAACCACAGTCATTACTTGCTTAACCTTTTAACCTAAACCAATTTTAAACCAGAGCTGAACTTTAAAACATGTCGTTGATCAATAATAAAGGATTTACATTAGAGGGACATTATATTTGTCTCCGTAATAGAGGCAGGAACCCATGATGTCAGTGTGTATAATGATACTTGCTCACTCAACACAAAAATGAACAAAACACAGAGTAACATGTTACAAATAATATACTGATAAAACCTATTTATTAATAACACTACATTTGTGTAAATTGAAAAATCTGAAAGATACTGAATGAATGAACGTTGGCACGATTAAAGAACCTGATTTTTTTTTTTTTTTTAATGCATTTGAGTAAAATGTGTCTTTCCACAGTACAGAGCAGCTTTTGAGATCAAAATAAATCCCTCTGTACTGTTTAAATCTAATGGTAAAGTATTTTATTGTCCAATTACCAGGAAGTGCGTGTTAGCATGCTAGTTGCCGTTGGCTTTACTACCACAGCAAAACTCCGCTCCTGTCTGTGACAGTTATGAAAAACACTTGTAAAGTCATGACAGTGAATCATTCAGATGCTTTAAATGCAAAAGGTAAATGAAGAAGAACTCTGGACCACTACAAACCGTTTAACGCAAACTGTTTCTGCAAGACTCCTTGGACTTGTCTTTTTATGTCATAGTTGTTTCATCTTCTCTTTCCTGGCAACCGGCACATGCCCACTGCTCTGTACTTATTTCCTTCTTCAATTATATTTTCTTAATTGTGATACAAGTAGGAATCTGCAGCGTTGTGTAGTCATTTTGGTACAAATGAAAAAAAAATCCACTGTAACTTTTCTGTTGGAAGGTCCGTCAAACACTTTTCTCCGTGGAGATGTTAGTGATTTCACATGTGGTGTGCCCCAGGGCTCCATTTTAGGCCCTGTGCTTTTTAACTTGTACATGCTCCCTCTTGGTGGTGTCATCAGGAGACATGGAATCAACTTCCACAGCTACGCAGATGATACGCAGCTTTACATCTCCATGTCTCCTGATGACACCAGACCAATGGATGCTCTTTTTAACTGCATTCTAGAAATTAAGTCCTGGATGGCAGAAAACTTCCTCCAGCTTAACCAGGACAAAACTGAGGTTTTAGTCATTGGTCCTGAGGCCCAGAGAGAGAAACTTTTACCCAAATTCCAAACACAGTCCTTTAACCCTTCTCCTCAAGTGAAAAACCTGGGTGTCATTTTTGACTCTGAGCTGACTTTTATACCACACATTAAGAACATCACAAAAATTGTTTTTTATCACCTAAAAAACATAGCCAGAGTCCGCCCCATTCTCTCTCGGGCCAACACAGAGACACTGATGCTTTTATCACCAGTCGAATAGACGACTGTAATGCCCTGCTCTCTGCTCTTCCCAAAAAGAGTATTTCAGGTTTGCAATTATTACAAAATTCAGCAGCACGTGTCCTGACGAGGACCAGAGGGCGGGACCACATTACACCGGTTTTAAAATCACTGCATTGGCTCCCTGTGTGTTTCAGGATCGATTTTAAAGTACTGGTTTTTAAATGTCTTAATGGTCTTGGGCCTTCTTATCTTTCAGAACTGCTTTTACCTTACGAACCCTCGCGGACCCTGCGCTCCTCCGGCAGCAGCTCCTGCTCATTCCCAAAGTCAGGACACACACTCACGGAGAGGCGTCTTTTCAGCACTATGGCCCTCGTCTATGGAACTGCAGCCGGAGGAGCTCAGGGCTGCAGAGAACGTTCATGTTTTTAAGAGCAGGCTCAAGACCCACCTTTTTAGCTTAGCTTTTGATTGAAATCTTATACTTTTACTTGTTTTTATTGTACACATTTTATTATATTTATTTATTTTAGGCATATTTTTTAGGATTTCCAGTGTCTCCTCTGTAGGAGCCTCTGCATCGGGAGTGGAGGTCAGCTGTGGCTGCTGGGTCTGTCATGTGGGCTCCTGGTGGAGGGATGGTGCTTGGGCCTCAGGTGCCTGGGCTTCATCTCTCCCCTGGCTCCTGTGGTGGTTCCTGGTGGTGGTGGACGTCTCTCTGCTCCCGGTGCAGACGGCTCCTCTGATGGTGCTTTCTCAACTGGTTCGCCTGTATTCAGCCTCACATTTTATTGTGTCCGGTTATGTATTTTAGCGTGTGAGAGTGTGTGTGTGTGTGTGTGTGTGTGTGTGTGCATGTTTGTGTGTATGTGAGTGTGTGTGTTTGGGTTGTTTGACTATGTGGGGTTGGGGGTGCGGGGGTTGGGTTGGTGGGTGGTGGTTGGGTGGTTGGAAATGCGGGACTGTTTTTAATCACTGTAAAGCACTTTGTGTTGCATTTTGTATGAAAAGTGCTTTATAAATAAAGTTTGATTTGATTTGATTTGTCTGGAATGTTTCACAGTGTAGCTGATGATAATGTGTGTGTGTATTTGTTTTCATGGTAATAAGTGAGAAAAAATATTATTTTATCTTTGTTATTAGGTTCTTTTTTCAGACCAAGAGTTTGTTTTTCATACCTGACAGTTTCGACAGCTCACTAGTGCTCTTCCTCAGAGTGGTTTATTATTATTTTATCTGTTCAAATATTAAGATGTATCAGAATAAATATTAAGATGTGTCAGAACACCGTTCTTCATTTCAGATATTTTATTTGGAAAAATTATTTATGTTTATGAGTTATGAGAGTGAGAAATAGTAGCCGTGAAAGAGAGAAAAAGACGTTAGAAACAGAAAAAGTCAAACTTAAAGAAACACTATTTAACTATCGCTCGTGATGTATAAGCGAACACGGTAAATATATCATTTTGAATTCTGTATTTTATGTGAAGCTGAGACATTTTCTCTGTCTGAGAATTTTATTTTCTCTTTCACAGTGTTCACTGTGTTGTCGAAGATTAACATTATTGTTTTTTGAGGTATTTTTGAGCTCTAAAACCACCTGTAATTGAATAAATGTAAAATAGAGCTGTTTAATGCCATACTGTGGAACATTCCAGGCAAAGTGAAGTCATTAATGATGCACTGGTGTCAGAAAAACGCACAAAATGTCTTCTTCATTATGAACTCGTTCTGTTTCTCATGTTTTTATGCAGTAAAAATCAGGTACAGCCACTTAAATTCTGGCATCTCCCGTGTTTTCCATTGCACCGCTTGCCTGATGTGTGTGTACGTGTGTGTGTGTGTGTGTGTGTGTGTGCACTTTGAGCCTGCAGGTGTTGCCAGGATACCCGCGAGCCCTGAGCTGCATGTTTTGATGTTGTTTTGCAGAGCGCCCCCTGCAGACGGACAGGAGCCTCTCGTCAGAACCAGGGGCCGAGCTGGGCCAGATGGAGTACCAGCTGCTCAAGTTCTTCACCCTGCTGTGAGTAACACACACACACACACACACACACACACACACATGCAGCGCTGGCTCAAAGGCACAAAGGCAGAGCACACAGGAGGCAGCAGCTGACTCACTCGCTGAAAACGCCACAGGAGAGAAGGACGGAGGGAGGGAGGGAGCGAGGGAGCGAGGAAAAGGACAGGGCGCTATTTTCGGACTGGATATTTTTAGCCTTTTTCCGCTTAATTAAGAGGATTTATCAGAGCGGGCATCAGACGCTTTGTCCCTGCAGGTTGTGCCCTCCAGCTCCGCGGGCACCCAGCTCTCTGCACAGTGCCCACTTTGACATGCAAAGTAAAACCGTGTACAAAAATAAGTAGTGCACTGCAAAAACTCAAATCTAGCCAAGTTAAGATGACTTGAATTAAGAAAGTTTTATCACGAGTTGAGTCGATTTCACTTGACAAATGTAAAATGTAAAATGATCTGCCAGTGGAATAAGACTTTTTGTACTTAGAATAAGTAAATACATCTGGATATACTTAAAATAAGAAAAACAACATCTCTTTGCACTTAAAATAAGAAATAAAATCTAATGTTGTTTGAATTCAGAAAAACACATTTATTCCATTAGTAAATCATTTTACTTGTCAAGTTGAATCTACTCAAATAAAGTCAAATGTTCGTAATTTAATTCATCTTAACTGACCTAGGTATTACTTTTTTCAGTGTGTTGTTCTGAACCGATACTGATACTTGGCCTTGGTGTACTTGCCGATACCGATACCAGTCCGATACCACAGTGTGAAGAAGTACACTTAGGCTACTTAATTTTGTAACATACAAGAGCAAAAAATAAATCATAAATCTTCTAAACAGCTTTTTTTTTTACTTTGTTTTTATGAAGTTTAAGATACATACAGTTTATAAGATAAGATAATCCTTTATTGTCTCCCATGGGAGAAATTTGTCTTGGGACAGAGGTCACCTGCTTTATCAAAAAACCACACAACACAAAGCAGCACATAAACAAACACCATTGAACAAAAATAGATACGAGACCAAATATGACCACGAGTGATGCACCAACAAGACCTTTAAATTATTCTTCACAGTCAGTTACAAATACCATATCGACTTGGCAAAATCTGGTTCTGTCAGATTTCAGAAGCTCGTGGGTCTCGTGGTTAGTACTTGGATGGGTGCGACAGTGGGCGCCAGTGGGAATAACTGTCATTTTGTCCTTAGGCAAGACACTTCACCCACATTGCCTCGTAAGAAAGTGGTGTGTGAGTGAGTGATGGTGGTGGAGGGAGGACGGAGGGGTTGATGGTGCAGATTGGCAGCAGTAGTAGTTTACCACCACTGAGTGCATAGTGAATAATGCTCTGTAAAGCACTTTGGGCATCTTGAAAGGTGCTATATAATTGGATTGATTAATTAAAAAAAAAAAAAAAAAAAAAGAACAAAGCTGATAACACATATATGCAGCTGTACAAGTACAATTAGAGACCAAACAATATAGAAAAAACTATATTAATAACAGAAACAATTATACATATACAATTATAATAATAGATAAAAAATCTAAATAAAATAATAATCATCATCATCATCATCATCATAAATAATTCAATAAATAAATAAAAACATGCTAAGTTTGTTGGGATAATATCACAAACTTGGGAGTCCATCTCAAAGAATAAGTGATTTGATGAAAGGCTTTTTTAAAGAAATGTAAGAATAGATAAGATTTTGAGGACTAAAATATGAATGAAAGTATCATGATCTTGACGATAAGTAGTGTTGATTTAAGCTGTTTTAAGCCCTTTAATTTTCTACCAGAGTGCAGATAAAAACAGCGGTGAGGTCTGTAAAAGACGCTCATCCTCGGAGCACACGGATGATTCTGCAGAGTCATTAAATGAAAGTCCGACTTAGCGCTGTGGATGTTGTTGCTGTTCTCGAGCTTCACTCTTCTTCTTTGACCAAGTTGAGCGTCCACACTAAAGGCTGAACGAAAAAAAAGAGGTTACGCAAATGTTTTTTATCTGTTATTATGAGCATGTTTTAAGTGTCTGCAAAATCTCCACAGTCTCTATTTGATTCATTCATTCATACTATAATACTCCCTACAACTGTACACCAACTCACCCTTATGTAAAGATAATACTCCCTACAACTGTACAACACTCACCCTTATGGAACAGTAACAGATAATACTCCCTACAACTGTACAACTCACTTATGTCACAACTCCTTATGTAACAGATAATACTCCCTACAACTGTACAACAACTCACCCTTATGGAACAGATAATACTCCCTACAACTGTACAACAACTCACTGTACTTATGTCACAGATAATACTCCCTACAACTGTACACTGTACAACAACTCACTCTTATGTAACTCGATAATAATACTCCCTACAACTGTACTAACAACTCACCTTTATGGAACAGATAATACTCCCTACAACTGTACAACTGTACAACAACTCACCCTTATGGAACAGATAATACTCCCTACAACTGTACAACAACTCACTCTTATGTAACTCCCTACAACTGATAATACTCCCTACAACTGTACAACAACTCACCTTTATGGAACAGATAATACTCCCTACAACTGTACAACAACTCACCCTTATGGAACAGATAATACTCCCTACAACTGTACAACTCACCCTTATGGAACAGATAATACTCCCTACAACTGTACAACAACTCACCCTTATGTAACAGATAATACTCCCTACAACTGTACAACTACTCAACTCACCGTTCACCAAACCAATATAAGAAACTACTGAGGGTAAGCGTCATCCTGTGGGGACATAAATAAAGCGTAAGTGGAGTCTGGTCTTGTAGCGTCGGGGGTCGTGACTGCGGGGGGCGCTCACACTGTCCTTCACCCTCTGAGCCGACCATCCATCCATCTCACTTTATGTTCCGGTCGTGTCCATGTGCCGCGACCTCTGACCTCTGCCCACACGACACACACATATTACCGTCTGTAGAAACCGCAGCGCCGTTAATCAGTGGACTTTTTTCATCACTGACTCATGTCCTAGTCCTATAGCATTATTTTTTTGTTTTTTTCAGAGTAGTAGTTTTAAAGGCTCCATATTACGCTATTTTCTGATCTATGTTATAATGTTTCCTCATCACAAACAGACCTGGAGTTGTGTTTTTTTTGTTTCATTCACATGTTTAACACACAAACCCTGCAGATTTAGACACATTTTTTCTCAAACATGAAACACTCAAACTGCTCTACCTTGTGATGTCATGTGGTGATACAGGAAGGCCTACACTAATTTTTTTAACTCCATACGCCTCACTAGAATCAATTCTGGGTCAATTTTAGACCCGGAATTGCCGATCTCTACTGAATTTAAAATCAAAGGTAGCGCTTAACACACAAACTTCTCTCAAATGGAAAACGCCCTGTTCCACCTTGTGATGTCATGTAATACAGGAAGTGCTCCATTGTGTTTTAGGGTGCGTTCACACCACTAGTTTGATTACCATATTTTCTGGGCTGTAGGGGGCGCTCTTAAGCCTCCAACCCCATCAAAAAATGACTGCGCGCTCCACAATCCACAATCCAGAGCGCCGTATACACGAATCCACTCGAGTGTCCCAGCACGACTTCAGTAAACTACAAAGCCGCACCACCCGCAGAACACACAAACACACACGGAGCAGACAGCAGACCGCACAGAGAAACACACCCACAGACACACTCATCACTCCACGCCGACGAGGAACGGAACGGAGGAACGAACCGAAAAAGCGAGTGCAATGTGCCACTTCTAGACACAACTGAACAACTGAGTCACTGTGAACACGCCGACAATCCGTTGGTCCCAGACAGCACCCTCCCTACACGCCACAACTGAACAAAGCCCAGAGTCACCGTGAACGAACAAACAAACAAAACCACTCACCCATCACACTGTTGGGTTTCCTTTAAAGTCCGGTGCGGTTTATTTGTGAAAAAAGATTGAAAACTGACCATTTAATGACAGTGCGCCTAATAGCCTGGAAAATATAGTATTTGGTCCAAACTCAATTCGGGACAGTTCTGAGCCTGCCCTCCCATGATGCGTTTGGACCTACTGTCTATGGTTTGGGCCCAAGTTTGCGTTCCTCACCACAGGGACCGCACCAGAGTTCGGCATTGGGTGCAGAGTCAAGTGAACCGAGACCACCTTTTTTTTTTTTGAGGTCTCGGTCCACATGATTTAGTGCAGATCTGAGTGCGACTGAAGCTTTCACACCAACGAAAACGAACCGAACTACAGGCTTTTTTAAATAGAACGTTTGGTGCACCCACTGCTGTCGATGTGAAAGCCCCTTTAAACTCCATACACCTTCACTGAAATCATTTGGATGATTTCAGCCCTAGAATTGACCATTTCTACTGAACGAAAGATAACTTGGAAACTACCACTACATGACATCACAAGGTGGGACAGAGCATTTGGACCTTTGGAGATGTAGACAGACTAATAATAAAGTGTTACTCAAACATGTGTGAATGAAACAAAACACAACTCCTGGTCTGTTTTTGAGGAAGGAACAGCATTAAAACATGGACTGAAGCTCCCAAAAGTCCATTTTGTGAAATACAGGACCATTAATAATAACATGAATAGAGTTATAATGATTTTATTTGGTTATTTAGTAATCATTATTGTTGGATTCAGTGTTGTGTTAAATGGAGTGACGGATAAAATACTAAAAATGTGTACTCACTCAAAAGTAGTGGCTCTGGATATTCCTGTTGTTTACGTTGTACTTTACATCAAAATATCCAAAAGGTAAATCCACAAACAACATTCATTTTGAGCTGCCGCCATCTGTATTTAATATGACTGACCTACATAATGTTGTGACGTCATCTGAAGCACAGCAAAAATACAAATAGTCATATTTTTTTAGTCATATTTGTTAGTCTTTGGGGCGTTAGAGTTTTTTTGTTACATATATTTGAATTCAGAATGAACAGAAAACAACAGGATAGGAACAACATTTAAGCAGTAAATATAAAATTAACATTTACAATAAGACAACAGACACAAGGAGCAGCATTTACTTTTTAGTGAATTAATTTTTGCTTTGTTTTATTTAAATGTTTCTATATTAAAGCTGAATTTTGTATACATAATTTCATATTTCATTCTTTTACACATCTTTTTGAGTACATTTTATATTTGAACACTTTAAAACGGTATGAAGGCACAACATATAGTCTCCATACTCTCAGAACATGTACATTTAACAAAGAAAAAAGAAAAAAAAAGGAAAAAAAAAGAGAACAAAATGTATCTTCAGATATTAGACAAAAACAAAACATATACACATTATAAATACTATTATTGTCAGTTGTAATTTGGCACCTTACAAACAGTGTGTAAACTGACAGTGGATCTACAGTGTTGTTTTTTTCTGATAGAAAATAAAGCTGGAGTTTGTAGTGAGGGGAGTTGTCTGAAGGATAGTGTGCTGCCTCCCTCTTGTGTCCGGCGCTGGTATTGCATGTTGTACAGTCTGTGTTTTGTGCTGCTGTTTCAGGATCATTCTGCTCATCCTGTCCTCCTGTTACCTGGCCTTCAGAGTGTGCAGTCTGGAGCAGCAGCTGTCCTTCCTCAGCAACCCCAACCTGCCCCTCCGAGACAGGTGAGCCCCTGCCCAACCCAACCTGCCCCTCCGACAGGCCCTGCCCCTCCGAGACAGGTGAGCCCCTGCGCAACCCCAACCTGCCCCTCCGAGACAGGTGAGGCCCCTGCCAACCCCAACCTGCCCCGAGACAGGTGAGCCCCTGCCAACCCCAACCTGCCCTCCGAGACAGGTGAGCCCCAACGCCAACCCAACCTGCCCCTCCGAGACAGGCCCCTGTGCCAACCCCAACCTGCCCCTCCGAACAGGTGAGGCCCCTGCCCCTCCGAACCCCAACCTGCCCCTCCGAGACAGGTGAGCCCCGCGCCAACCCCAACCTGCCCCTCCGAGACAGGTGAGGCCCCAACGCCAACCCCAACCTGCCCCTCCGAGACAGGTGAGGCCCCAACGTCAACCCCAACCTGCCCCTCCGAGACAGGTGTGGCCCCAACGCCAACCCCAACCTGCCCTCCGAGACAGGTGTGGCCCCAACGCCTGCCAACCCCAACCTGCCCTCCGAGACAGGTGAGCCCCTGTGCCAACCCCAACCTGCCCCTCCGAGACAGGTGAGCCCCTGCCCCCCTGCCCCTCCGAGACAGGTGAGCCCTGCGCCAACCCCAACCTGCCCCAACGCCAACCCAACCTGCCCCTCCGAGACAGGTGAGGCCCCAACGCAACCCCAACCTGCCCCTCCGAGACAGGTGTGGCCCAACGCCAACCCCAACCTGCCCCTCCGAGACAGGTGAGCCCCTGCGCCAACCCCAACCTGCCCCTCCGAGACAGGTGTGGCCCCAACGCCAACCCCAACCTGCCCCTCCGAGACAGGTGAGGCCCCAACGCCAACCCCAACCTGCCCCTCCGAGACAGGTGAGGCCCCAACGCCAACCCCAACCTGCCCCTCCGAGACAGGTGTGGCCCCAACGCCAACCCCAACCTGCCCCTCCGAGACAGGTGAGGCCCCAACGTCAACCCCAACCTGCCCCTCTGAGTATGGCTGTCAAAAATATAGAAAATCATGTATCAGTTCTAAAAAAAGTCACATTGACAGGACAGAAAGGATCTTTCCTGAATGCCTTTAGAATGACCTTGAGCTGTATCATTTTATTTGTACACATGTAAGGGAATTGAAAAGAAAATAATATGATTTAATGCTGAAAATCACATTGTGTTGTGTGAATAGAGATTGTTTTTTTATTATCATCGTGGTATCGGAATTGGTATTGAGCATCGAGTATCGAGTCAATTCCTTAATCTCAAATTTGAGAAGTTTAGTATTGTGATAAGGCTTCCTCAGAGACACTTGAGGTCTTCTTTTTGATTTTTAATATTAAATCAGACTAAATTCTTTCACCCAACACTGTGCAGCTTCAGTGCAACATTTGGAAAAACTTCAGCAACTGGCAAACAAATTTGGACTTGATACCAAAAATATAAAGAGGAAGGCTGATTATGCAGGACTAAAGGATCTGTTACGCCAAACCGTCATTCGAGGAATCTGGGTTTCCAAACTTGTTCTCCTTACAGACTTCTTGGAGTTTTTCCACAAACTTGCTCGACCTTCTCTTCAGATGTTGATGATGGTCTACCAGATCCTTTAGCCCTAAATAATCAGCCTTCATCTTTAAATTTTTGGTACCAAATTTGTTTGCCAGTTGGTGAAGTTTTTTCCAAATTTTGCATTGAAGCTGCACAGTCTTGGGTGAGTGTGTGTGAGCAGATTCCAAGACACAAAATGACTCTTGACTCTTTGGGAGTGAACATCATGACAATAAAACAGTAAATATAAAATCTTGATCTGTTTCTATACATTCTGTGATAATTTTAGGTTATTTCAACAAGAACTGCCAAAAGTATGTCAATTTTTTTGGCACACCCTGTATTACAATATACCAGACAGGGTTAAATGAAACTATAGTATATTGGAAGTATCAATGATGAGTCCACAAAGTGTGAGTTTGAGTTTACTGATGTTTTTATCTGTGTCTTTCTGTATCTCTCTGGTGTAGGTAACCATGGCTGTCCTTCTCCACCCTGTGCTGCCCAGACTCAGCCCTGAGCAGCTTGAGCCACACAGGGACCTCCACCTCCTCCTCTTCCTCCTCCTCGTCCTCCTCCTCCTCCTCCAGGCTCGTCCAGGCGTCACTGATCACTTGACTATGCAAACAGACTGAGTGTGGATGTTAGGTTATGAATGTGAGACATAGCTAACCTTTGCAGTACTCGATGTAGTCAGGAGTTACTGTGTTTGTGTTCCATTTGTTTTCTTGTACATTCACTTAAAGGTCCTATATTACACCAAATGGATTCTTGTGAGCTTTAAGACAGAGGACAGAGTTAGAATGATGTTACCTCCTCAAAAACATACCTGGAGTTGTGTTTTTTTTTCAATTAGTAGTAGTTTCTTCTGTTATTTTGCAGGACTAGATCTACAAACTACAACCCCATGGATCATGACTGAAAAGGTTTAGGCTGAAGTCAAAAGTACTTACATACAGTGTTGGGGAGTAACAGATTATATGTGCCTGAGTTACGTAATCAGAGTACAAATTATGAGTAACTGTATTCAGTTTCAGTTACTGTTTCAGTGAGTGGTAATTGGATTATAGTTACTTTGTTGAAATAAATGGATTACACGGCGGTATTTTCCTGTTTTCACATTTTGGGCTAAACCAGAACTAAAACCAAGACTAAACCAGGACTAAACCAGAACTAATCCAGGTCTAAAACAGGTCTAAACCAGGACTAAAACCAGGACTAAACCAGTTCTAAGCCAGGACTAAATCAGGTCTAAACCAGGACTAAATCAGGTCTAAACCAGGACTAAATCAGGTCTAAATAATATGACACTAACAGTAGGTGGACGTATTTTAAGGCAGCAGTGATCTCATATAAAAATCATTTCTCTATCAATAATATTTTTAATTTGGTTAAGTAAAGACTGGACTTTTTATTGTCTTTTAGCAGATAAAACATCTTATGTTAAGATTCTAGTCTTTGTTACTTTACAGCAAACAAAAGTCTGTTCATGGAGACTTGGGCTCAACAGACAATTTGAAGAGAACAAACATGAATTTTCAGGATGTGGTTGTTACATTCATGTAGTTAAAAAAACAACAACATGATAATATCAAGTAATCCAAAGTATTCAGATTACATTACTCACTTTAAGTAATTTAATGGATTCCATGACAAACTACATTTTGAGGTATGTAATCTGTAATCTGTAGGGGAATACATTTGAAAAGTCACCTTCCCAACACTGCTTACATGTAATGCCTAACCCTGTTAAACGATGACAGAATTCCAAGAAAGAAAAGCAGCGTTTGAACAGCAAGTTTGCATTTACAATTTCATGTACGACTTACTGTAAATATAAGAGACAAAATATAAATTAAAACAAACTAAATTTAATGCAGACATGTCAATTTGGCTCGCGATATAATTATATTTGACCCGTGAGATCATATCAAATCTGTATTAGAGCTGCCCACCAGCTACAGATAGACTATAGAGACATTATTTATTTAAAATGTTGTTATTATTTTATATTATACTTGTCCTGGATTCAATGTTTAAGCAAAACTATTATTAAACATTTATTTTAATAAGAAAAGGTTTGACATATCTCGAAAAAAGAGAAAACATCCAGATGTTGTTGAAATTTTTCAATAAATATTTAGTTTGGCCCACGAATTAATCCCAGTTTTTAATTTTGGCCTCTGAATTTTGAGTTTGACACTCCTGAATGAATACATAGATCATTCATTCCAGAGCTCTATAACTGTCTAAACATAACGCTTTATACTCTTTTTAAAGTGTTCAACTTTTTTCAATCATCACTCAGAAACAGAAATACTATCACTTTTTTCCCTTAGTTTTTATATTTTCATTCACGCGTATTGAAGGAAGTATTTTATTATTATCTGTCTTTATCTCCAAAGTTCAAAATACACTGTTCCACCTTGTGATGTCATGAAGTGCTAGTTTTCAAGTTAACAGCTCCTTTATTATCTTAAATTTTGATTCAGAGATTGGCAATTCCAGGGCGAAAATAATCCAAATGACTCTAGTGAAGGTGTACGGAGTTTAAAAACACAGTGAAGCACCTTCTGTATCACCACATGACATCACAAGGTGGAGAGTGTTTTCAGTTTTCACAACTCCAGGTGTGTTTGTGATGAGGAAACTACAGTACATTAAAACACAGATGAGAAAACAGTGTAATATGGGCCCGTTAAGGTGATTTTCTGAAGAAGCCAGGATCCTGTGAGGATTTACTTGAAGAAAGATCTCAGAAAGACGGCTGAAAACGAAAACGAAGCAATGCACTTTTCCAGAAATGTGATATTATTGAAATGTAAATGTTTTGGATATATTTTGGTACTTTCTTTTGAAGGGAGACACTTGACGACGTGTGAGTGTTGGAGTTACTGCGAATGGCGTCCTTATGCATTTGGTATCATGTAACTGAAATGATTATATAACGTGTTTGGTATTAGTACTAACTCAGTGTTTAGTTTGTTTGCATTTTGTATGTTTTAGTCACCAAAGACTTTGAACTAGGCCTGTCACAATAGCACAGAAGAGGATGTGTTTGGACAGAAAATGGAATAACTATAGTTTGGTTTTATTTCTGCAAAATCGTCAGTGTCCAGTGAGGTTCAGTCCTACTTCCTCGCGGCGGTATCCCAGGTGTGCCAGAGTAAAAAACGCGAGAAGGAAACCACAAAGACATGTGTACGAGCGACAAAACACAAAGCAGAACAGGAACAGCTCAAATCGCTTAAATTTCTTTCTAATAAGATGTTTTATTAGGACATTTAACATCAATAACCAGTGGAATGACATGGAAGAAGTATTTGATTTTGTTACTTAAGTAAAAGTACAGATACCAGAGCAAAATCATGCTCAAATAAAAGTAAAAATTTCACATGCTTAAGTAAAAGTATTAATGTACCGTATTTTTCAGACTATAAGTTGCACTTTTTTTCATGGTTTGGGTGTTTCCTGCGACTTAAGGCCAATTTACGGTCCAGTGTCAAATCATCTGCGTCAACCGACGTGCACCTCCGAAATTTTCTAACTACGCTTTGAAACGACGCAGACGATAAGGGCTGTGATTGGTCCTCGCTA